ACTTCCTGACCTGTCACGAAACTTGAACAATAGTAAAAATGACTCTCCTCACCTGCATATTTCATGTAATGTATTGTTATTATGGCGACAGGTTGAGTTGTGAAATGTAGGTGGTTGGCGGGTGCTCTGTTGAGGTTTGTTTCCTCCTTTTCTATCAAACATCTATCAACGTAGTCTCTCCTTTTTTTTACGTGCTCATATGACCTTATGCAGTTGTGAGCGCCGTAAAACCCCATACTAAACTAAACTGAACTTCTTTTTTTTATGTTTGTTACCCACTTATAACATGTCTAATCTTCGGCACTTACTTTTATGAACTAATCTTCAGTATCTATACTACCACCACCACCACCTAATGTTGCAAGTCCCATAAAACTCTGACTAAATATTAAAAATAATCAGTTGTAAAATGACCGGAAAAGGGCAACAGAAAGATCGGAGACCACACCAAAAGCTTTAGGCTGAGCTATAGTTGCGCTGTAGCCAAGCTGCTGAATATGGACTCTTTTAAGTACACCAACTGTTCACACCAAAAGTGGTAGCCTGGCTGCACAGCCACACCACAGCCACACCACAGCCACACCACAGCAAACAGCCGGCAGCCAAGCTCTCTTCGTTTTGTAATGAACAAAATTCTGCACAAGCGCATTTTGTTGCACCATTGTGACCATTGCTCGGTTCCCGCCAGAAGATGTGACTTTGGTAAAACGAACCTGGAGGAAGACATTATAACAATGTCTTGCAAGACCAACCAAGAAAATGGGCGGGTGGGGGGAATAAGGTAAGAGTGAACTGACACACTCCTACTCCTCTGGCTCTTTTATCATCAGCCCCCTCCCTCACCGCCAAAGAAAGAAACCCCACTTTAATCTCTTCTCTCTCTCTCTCTCTCTCTCTCTCTCTCTCTCTCTCAGCACCGTGACCACTGTCCAGTGTGCAGTCACGCGTGGCGTTACTTAATACTGCTGTCAACTCCGGCTTTTCACCACAAGAAAAGCAAATGATCAGATAGAGGAACCGCGCGGCCTGGATTTGAATGTGGAGATCAGCAGAGCTGGGAGAAAAAGTGGGTTAGACAAGGTTTGTGTGTGCGTGTATGTATGTGTGTGTGTGTGGGAGGGGGGGAGGGGGCGTTAGGGAGGAAAAGTACAATTGTTGTACATGCGTGTACGTTTCGTACTTGTATTATTTTCGAGTGCCTCGCACGCAGTTGGGATTGGGGATGACGTCCGCGGAGGCTGAGGGAAGAA